CCAGTCTGGGCGACAGAGTGAGACTCCGACTCAAAAAAAAAAAACCCAAAAAAAACCCAACAACTCTGAAGTGGTCAGTTATACTTAGCCCAGACACCCAGGGGCAAGCTTTTCCAGAGTATATAGGATCAAGTGTGTTAAATCCAAGTATGATGTAACTTCTCTGGAATGAAAACACTGGAACTGCTAGAGAATTCAGGGCAAAAAAGGTTTCCCAGTAGGAAAGATGCATACCTTCATAAGTAATTCAGAGAGGAGAGGAGTAAGTTAGGTGAGTCAAGAACACTTGTCATTATTCAGAACACTCTCCAGAGTTTAGAAGGAGTTCAGAAAGGAGGCTAGGCTAGGCAAGGTGGCTCACGCCTATAATCCCAGCCCTTTGAAGGCCGAGGTGAGAGGATTGCCTGAGCCCACAGGTTCGAGACCAGCCTGGGCAATGTGGTGTGTGGTGAGACCTCATCTCTACATTAAATTAAAAAAAAAAAATTATGCTGGGTTCGGTGGCTCAGCCTGTAATCCCTTGCCTTTGGGAGGCTGAGGTGAGTGGACTGCCTGAGCCCGCGGGTTTGAGACCTGCCTGGGCACGAGACCTCATCTCTACAATAAATCAAAAAATCATCTGGGTGTGGTAGCGCATGCCTGTAATTCCAGCTACTTGGAAGGCTGAGGCGGAAGGATCGCCTGAGCCCAGCAGGTTGAGGCTGCGGTGGCTGGGAGCATGCCACTGCACTCCAGTCTGGGTGACAGTGAGACTCCAACTAAAAAAAAAACAAAAAACAAAAAAAACCCCCAGACAAAACAAGAGTGCTGCTATAGGCTCTTTCTTTCCTGGCCTGCAGACCACCTCAGGCCACAGCTGATGGATATTAAGTTCTAGGACTCAGACTCAGCCTGCCAGGGCCTCACCCTTCTTTCTGATAGGGTGAGAAATGATAGGCATCAGAAGCCTTTTGGTGAGTGGTCTCTAAGAGGTATCTACATCTCCCCTGGGACTAAGGGGCTCAGACCAGTACAGAAGCACCATCCTTTCAATGGGAAAATGCTACAAATATAAGAGAAAGGAGAGAAAAGCTTCAGAGTTGGAAAAGCCCTTTGATCTTACCTAGAACAAACTTCTGTAAATAAACTCAGAGACCTCAGAGAGGAGGTACAGTCAGGCAAGCTGCTAGAAGCCCTTTATTAAGTGTTTGTAGAATGATTTTTTTGAAAAGTGGACATGAAGGTAAAACGGAGCAAGTGGCAAAGCTGTGCTTTTCCACCGAGACCACACTTATGGCCTCTCCTTAGTGCCTGGAACCCCAGCTCCCAGCCTGGAACCGCCCTGGTGAAGCAGGTGGGGAAGCACCAAAGCAGCAGTTCCAAGGCCAGCTCCCTGGTCCCCCTACCTCTGTTCTAGGGCACTCACGTGTTTAAAACAGCTGACAGGAGCAGCCTTGTAACTGTGATCCTTCAGGAACTTCCCCCAGTCAAAACCCAAGACCAGCGCTGCAGAGCAGAAAGAGAAAGAGCTGAGACAGTAGCAGCCACTCCAGGAACCCTGCAGGGCCTGCAGAGGTGGGTCCCTTTCCCCACCCCCAGCAGCCCTTCCCTTACATTGCTGCTCTTGAGGCCCCCCATCTCTTCCCATACCTGCCCCACCAGTGGTCATCAGGGCTAGTGAGGACTAAAGGGCCGCAAGACTCTCAGGAGTAGAACATTCAAAGGGAAATTTCTCGCCCTTCTTCCCCCAAAGAAAGAGAAAAAATTCAAGTATCTCTGGGCTTAAATGACTCAGAACTCCCCCACCCTCTGATTGGCCATACCACATCTAAATGGAGGTAGGTGGGGGTGAATGCACACCCTGGCCCCTCCAGCCCTCATGGCTGATAAGCTCAAATTCCATCAGAAACTCAGACCAACTATGGCAGAGTTGCTATATGCCTACATTTAGTTTGCTCAGAAATTGCTAGACACTCAGAAAAAGAGAAACATTCCTTTCCTTATCCTACAACCCCTCTCCACATCCAGCTTCAAACCAGACCTGGGCCTCCACTGCCACAAAGAAACAGAAGCCTTAGGGATAAAAACAAAGAAACAAAATAAGCTAATTCTTGGCCTTTGAATTATCAAGGGTCTAGCAATTAAAGGGTGATTGAAGGGATTTCCTGGGGTAATTCCTATAATATACCCAACAGGTGAGGAAGATGTAAACCACAGTGAGCTTAAGTCAGGACGCTTTCTAGCTGGTCAACTTCCCCAGTCCTGGCTCCCAGTCCAGCCCCAGCAGCTTCCTATGTCCTTTGCTGTCTTACCATCTTGCCCTGTTGGTGTCCCATCTGCTAGCTGTCCTGTCCCTTGGGAGTGGAGGAAGGCTCCAATTTTAGCAGACCAAGCTGCCTTGTGCAGGACTTTGGCTTTCTTGGTAGGTGGCTTTCCCTGAAGGAAAGAAAAAAGGGTGTGTGTAGTCTAGCGGCTGAGAACTTGGCTCTGGATTTGGCATGGTTGAAATCCTGGTCTTGGTCCAGTGACTTAACCTCTTCTGGGCTTCAGTCTCTTCATTGTAGAACAGAATGATGATAATTACAATGCTTGGCTCAGAGGGTAGCTGTGGGGAATGATGTGGGGGAGGGACACATGCTCTATATCTTCTAAGTCTTTGATCTTTCCAGGACCTGCTCCATAAGTCTCAACTATCTCCTTCCTCCAGGGCTCCTACAGGTCCATGGCAAAGAATGGGCTTCAAAAGGGCCAGAAACTGAGCCAGGAGGCAACATGTTGTAAATCCGTGAAAGCTCTGGAGAAAGAGTCCATGGCTTATCAGGTGCTCAAAGGGGGTTCCTCTCCCAAAGGGAAAGGCCACTGACCTCATCTGTATCTTGTAATTTAAGCACTGATCAGGAAGGCCAGGAATATACTAAAGAGATGGGTGAGGTAGAAATTTGGGTTTAAGCCAGGCTTGGTGGCTCAGCCTGTAATCCCGCACCTTTGGGAGGCTGAGGTGAGTGGATTGCCTGAGCCCGTGGGTTCGAGACCCGCCTGGGCAGCGAGACCTCATCTCTACAATAAATCAAAAAATCAGCCGCCTGTAGCGCATGCCTGTAATTCCAGCTACTCGGAAGGCTGAGGCGGAAGGATCGCCGGAGCCCAGCAGGTGGAGGCTGCGGTGGCCGGGAGCGGCCACTGCACTCCCAGTCTGGGCGACCGAGTGAGACTCTAACTCAAAAAAAAAAAAAAAAAAGAAATTTGGGTTTAAGTCCCAGGTAGACCTGAGGTCAAATCCTGGTTCTACAACTTTTAGTTGTAGACCTTTAAGTAAGTTACTAAATGTTTTTAAAAATATGAATTAAAATAAATAAATAACAAAATAGGAGTTTAAAAAAAAAAATCAATTGTTTAGGATCATTGGTTGGACTGAAAATGTCAAGCCCTTAGCAAGTACTCCCAAACTGTGGCTATTACCAATATTATTTTTAGCTAAGGAGAGGGATCATTCTATGCCTTGACTAAAATTCACAAAACAAGGAACACAATAGTAATTATCTTACAAAAGTGATAAAGAATATGAATCACTAAGCAGAACGGTCTAGCACACAGCAACTTCCAGTAAGTGGCACAGCAGCAGTTCTCAAGCTTTGTGGCATATCAAAATCACCTGGGGAGCTCTTTAAACTCTCTATGTCAGCCTGGGCAACTTGGTAAGACCTCATCTCTACAATAAATCAAAAAATTATCCAGGCATGGTGGCACACGCCTGTGGTCCCAGCTACTTGGAGGCTGAGGCAGAAGAATTGCCCGAGCCCAGCAAGGCAAGGCTGCGGTGGCCATAAGCATGCCATTGCACTCCAGCCTGGGTGACAGAGTGAGACCTTGACTCAAATAAAATAAAATTAAAATTAAATCAGCCGGGCTCGGTGGCTCAGTCTGTAATCCCACGCCTTGAGAGGCTGAGGTGAGTGGACTGCCTGAGCCTGCGGGTTCGAGACCCACCTGGGCAACTTGGTGAGACCTCATCTCTACAATAAATCAAAAAATTAGCCGGGCATGGTAGCGTGCACCTGTAGTTCCAGCTACTTGGAAGGCTGAGGTGGAAGGATCGCCCAGAGCCCAGCAGGTTGAGGCTGCTGTGGCCGGGAGCGTGCCATCGCACTCCAGTCTGGGCGACAGAGGGAAACTCCAACTCAGAAAAAAAAACAAAAACAAATCAAATCAAATCAAATCTCTATGTCCAGGATACACTCTACTCCAATTAAATAAGAACCTTTGTAAGCAGGATGCAAGAACCAATAATGTTTAAACTTTCCAGGTGACCCCAATGTGCTGTCAAGTTTGAGAACCTGTATTGTGGACATTGGCCAAGTTACTGGGAAACAACGTAAGACAGGGCACCTGAGATTAGGTTCCAGTCTCAATTCCACTGCTCTCTTCCTACACAGCCACGCTAGGTACATCATTCTACTTGCCTAGACCTCTTCTTCCTCCAATCAGCACACTTACCAATAAACATGTGGGCTAAATAACACATATCTAAGATTCCTTCCATGTCTACAAATTCTATAAAAATGTAAGAAATTTGGCTGGGCACGATGGCTCAAGCCTGTAATCCCAGCACTTTGGGAGGATTGCCTGAGTTCAGGGGTTCAAGACCAGCCTGGGAAACTTGGTGAGACCTCGTCTATACAATAAATCAAAAAACAAGCCAGGCGTGGTAGCATGCGCCTGTAGTTCCAGCTACTTAGAAGGCTAAGGAGAAAGGATTGATCGCCTGAGCCCAGCAGGTCAAGGCTGCAGTGGCTGTGAGCATGCCACTGTACTCCAGTCTGGGCAACAGAGTAAGACTCCAACTCAAAAAAAAAAGAAAAGTCAGGAATTTGATACTGGGAAGACATTCTAGGTGGCTGGCTGTGACATGGAGTCAGAAAGCAAGCATGCACTTCCTAAAGCCAATATGGCCAGTGAACCTTGTGCCTGTTTTCCAGCTTCATTTCAAAGCATTTATGAAAGGGTGGGGTGAAAACTAAGGGTTCTTGTAACTTACTGAATACATCAGACTCTGGGGGATTCAGGTAGGGATTGGAGGGAGGGTAGCTTTAGGAATCTATAGTATAACAAGCCCATAAATTAGTTCCTCTGCTTCTGAAGTTTAAGAGCATAATAAATACCAGGCAATCTACAACCTCAGACAGCCACAAGCAAAGAGCTTTCCAAGTCCGCCTGGCCTTTGCCTTCCAGTTAGTTGGTGGTTTGTACCTCAGAACCCAGGGCTCTGGGGAGGATCCAAATGGCTGTCTCTTACCTGTAATCTAGCCAAGATACTGGCTTTCTTGGAGTTGGAGGAGTAGCTCCTGGAGCAGGAGACACTGCAAAACCTCTTGGTCTTGGAGAAGAAGGCATCCCTTGTGCCCACGATACCACACATTTCACAGACAGCTGCAAAGAGAACTTAGCACATGACTCATCCAACCTCAAATAAAGCAAAATGATGGGTCCTTCAAAACTTGGGGCAGAAGCTGGGCTTGGTGGCTCAGCCTGTAATCCCGCACCTTTGGGAGGCTGAGGTGAGTGGATTGCCTGAGCCCGCGGGTTCGAGACCCGCCTGGGCAGGCAATACCTCATCTCTACAATAAATCAAAAATATTAGCTGGGCAGGCAATACCTCATCTCTACAATAAATCAAAAATATTAGCTGGGCGTGGTAGCGTGCGCCTATAGTTTCAGCTACTTGGAAGGCTAAGGCAGAAGGATCTCCGGAGCCCAGTAGGTCGAGGCTGCAGTGCCTGGGAGCGGCCACTGCACTCCAGTCTGGGTGACAGAGTGAAACTCCAACTCAAAAAAAAAAAAAAAAAACCAACTTGGGGCAGAACATAACCAGGTGAGCCCCAACCCTCACTAAGATTGATGGAATAAGAGGAGAAGGAGGAAGGACTGGTATGTATATTTGAATCTGCCTGGTCTTAGCTCTGCTGCTTGGCCTCCCTTGGCTACATGTGTCAACAGAGGAGCTGATGAAAATCCATTAGGAAGACTGGGGAGAGTTGAAAAGTTTGTGAGAAGAAAAAGTGTCAAAGTCACGTAACCACTGTGGCTCTATTTTCCTATTATAGAGTAAGGAGACTGAACTAGATCAGTGTTCTAACCCTTATTTATTAGAATCACCTGGGGGCCGGGCTCGGTAGCTCAGCCTGTAATCCCAGCACTTTGGGAGGCCAAGGCAAGTGGATTGTCTGAGCCTGCGGGTTTGAGATCAGCCCAGGCAACCGGGCAAGATCTTGTCTCTACAATAAATAAAAAACGAGCCATGTGTGGTAGTGCGCACCTGTAGTTCTGGCTACTTGGAAGGCTAAGGTGAAAGGATTGCTGGAGCCCAGCAGGTTGACGCTGGGGTGGCCGTGAGCATGCCAATGCACTCCAGCCTGAGTGACAGAGTGACACTCCAACTCAAAAAAAAATTAAATAAAAAAAAAGAATCACCTGGGGAACTTTAACAGATGCCCACGCCAGCTGGGTACATGGTTTATGCCTGTAATCCCAAGGTGGGAGGATCACTTGAGGCCAGGAGTTCCAGATCAGCCTGGAAAACATAGTGAGATCCCATCTCTACAAATTTTTTTTTTAATTGGCAGGCACAGCAGTGCACACGTGTAGTCCCAGATACTTGGGAGGCTGAGGCAGGAGGATCATTTGAGCCCAAGAGTTCAAGGATGCAGGTCCACTGCACTACAGTCTGGGAGACAGAGTAAGACTGTCTCAAAAAAAGGCCTGAAGCCGGGCTCGGTGGCTCAGCCTGTAATCCCACGCCTTTGGGAGCCCACAGGTTCGAGACCCACCTGGGCAGCAAGACCTCATCTCTACAATAAATCAAAAAATCAGCCGGGCGTGGTGGCGCATGCCTGTAATTCCGGCTATTCGGAAGGCTGAGGCAAAAGGATCGCCGGAGCCCAGCAGGTCGAGGCTGCGGTGGCCGGGAGCGGCCGCTGCATTCCAGTCTGGGCGACAGAGTGAGACCCCAACTCAAAAAAAAAAAAAAAAGCCTGAGCCTGAAATTCTAATGAATTGGTCTGTGATGGGACACTGGCACCTGTAGTCTGTTACAAGTTCCCCAGGTGATTCTAATGTGCAGGACTAGACGGTCTCTACTGGTTCCTCATAGTTCTAAAGCACTAAGATTGTAAGAGAAGGGCTGGAAGAAGATAGAAAAAGAAAAGAGGAGGGGAAGAAAGACGACAAAATAAATAGAAGCAAGATTCAACTGTAAAGAATATTAGATTACTCTTTTTTTTTTTTTGAGTTGGAGTCTCACTCTGTCACCTAGACTGGAGTGCAGTGGCTGCTCCCAGCCACTGCAGCCTCGACCTGCTGGGCTCCAGTGATCCTTCCGCCTCAGCCTTCTAAGTAACTGGAATTACAGGTGCGCACTACCACGCCCAGTTAATTTTTTGATTTATTGTAGAGATGAGGTCTCACCAAGTTGCCCAGGCGGGTCTCAAACCCGCGGGCTCAGGCAACCCACTCACCTCAGCCTCCCAAAGTGTGGGATTATAGACTGAGCCCCCAAGCCCGGCTCAGATTACTCTTCTGAAGAGTTTGGGATCCAAGGGATGACAGTGTCATCACAGACCACGAGCCTGCCTCTCCTCACAGACAGCCCACACACTGGAGGCCATGAACCAAGGGTACAGCAGCTATCTAAGGATCACATTTCTGAATTGTGAAGGGAATTCTTATCTGTCCAAGTCCATCTCAATCCTCCTACCCAGGGTCACTTTATCCTGTATTCCTTCCCCACAAGCTCCTTCTTGTCTCTTCTCAGAAAGTAATCAAACATGTTAGGTTTACTATTTTCTCAACATTTAGGCTTAGAAATCTATAGCAAGGCCAGGCACAGTGGCTCACCCCTATAATCCCAGCACTTTGGGAGGCCAAGGTAAGAGGATTGCCTGAGCCCATATCTCTACAATAAATCAAAAATTAGCTGGGCGTGGTGGTACGAGCCTCTAATTCCAACTACCTGGAAGGCTGAGGTGGAAGGGTCACCTGAGCCCAGCAGATCAAGGATGCAGTGGCTGTGAGTGTGCCACTGCACTCCAGTCTGGGTGACAGAGTGAGACTCCAACTCAGAAAAAAAAAGAAATCTACAGCCTACTCATACAATGTAAAAGCAGTACCATGCTACTGAGTGGCATCTAATCCATGCTGAATAAACATTAGTTGTATAAAAGAATGAATGAAATCACAATTTGAAATTGGATTGCAGCAGAGGAAATAGTGCTGTGTCTACTTAGCATGCTTCTGTCTCCCTTACAGGTCCTTAGGTATCTGATCCCTTAGACACCAGAACAAATAGCCTTTTACAACAAGATGGCTCTGCCCACATAGCCTAGTTTCCATCCCTCTCTTCCTCAAAAACCTCCTGACTCCTCTCCATCTTCAGGGAGACACTCTGAAGGCACCTGGCTCAGAACCACTGCCATCCAAGGAGCGAGGTGTTCCGGGGCTGAGCAAATGCAGCGGGGAGGTGGGCAGCTCCCCTGCTTCCCGATCTTCATTTTCTGCTTCACTTGACTCCTCCAGATAGGAGCTGCTCTCACTGCCCACACTGCTGTTATAACTCCGGAAACTATCATAGCCACCAAACAGCTCTAAGTCATCATCTTCCTCTTCTTCCTCCATTGGTTCTGAGGATGGGGTCTCCTAAAAGGATGACACAAACAAGGCAGGAGGAATCATGATTGGCTTTAGTGCATACGGAGAGAAGCTGCAGATCTGCTATCAGCCCCCTTCTTTCAAATACCTCTTTTGCAAACACCAGGACCATTACTCCTATTGATGTATTTCTCTACCACAACTCACAACAGCTTAACAAGACAGAAAATATGTGTTAGGAATTCATCAGGCTCCTCTGTGGATTTACAAATGATAATATTTTAACATGGTGCAAATAGAATAAAATACAACTATGTAAAATATCCCAAGGAAGCTCACAAAGTCTTCCCGGGGAAGCAGATATATATATTCGAAATTCATTCTTTTCTGTTCAGTATATACATCAAAACAATCTCAACTCAAAAATATTTAAGTCGAGCCGGGCTCAGTGGCTCAGTCTGTAATCCCACGCCTTTGGGAGGCTGAGGTGAGTGAATTGCCTGAGCTCGCGGGTTCGAGACCCGCCTGGGCAGCGAGACCTCATCTCTACAATAAATAAAAAAATCAGCCGGGCGTGGTAGCACATGCCTGTAATTCCGGTTACTCGGAAGGCTGAGGCAGAAGGATCGCCGGAGCCCAGCAGGCGAGGCTGCGGTGGCCGGGAGCGGCCACTGTACTCCAGTCTGGGCGACAGAGTGAGACTCCAACTCAAAAAAAAAAAAAAAAATTTAAGTCAATAAGAAATTAAAAAAATAAATTTATGTCAAAGAAAAGTTAATTTGGGACCCAGACTGCCCCAAGGAGGATTTGAGAGTCAGATGACACACAGAAAGCTATGCCATTGTAGTATGCATCACAGCTTTGGATTCTGCTCTTATCCTAACTAGCTATGGGTTCTTGGGCAAGTCACTTAACCTTTGTGGGGCCTCAATTTTATCATCTATAAAGTTTTCTAAAAATTGGCTCACAGGATGTGAGATACAAAAGAGATACTGTATAGGAAACTACCTCACATGTGATAGGAAAGGTGTGAAGCAAGGTGAAGTTATGGTCCAAGAGCTCACATACCATCTCCTGTGCTTACTAGCTCTATGACTTGCAGCAAGTAAACCTCATAGTGTCTCAGTTTCCTTCTTTTTTTTTTGAGTTAGAGTTTTACTCTGTTGCCCAGACTGGAGTGCAGTGGCCCCTCCCAGCCACCGCAGCCTCAACCTGCTGGGCTCCGGCGATCCTTCCACCTCAGCCTTCCAAGTAGCTGGAACTACAGGCACGCGCTACCATGCCCGGCTAATTTTTGATTTATTGTAGAGATGAGATCTCGCTAAGTTGCCCAGGAGGGTCTCGAACCCGCGGGCTCAGGCAATCCACTCACCTCAGCCTCCCAAAGCGCGGGATTACAGGCTGAGCCATCGAGCCCAGCTCAGTTTCTACATCTGTAAAATGAAGATAATACCACCAATTTCACAGGATTTGGGGAAGAAGTAAGAGATAACGCAGGTAAAACACTCAGAACAGAGATTTACACAAAGTACTCAATAACTGTTGGCAATTTTTACTGGTTGAGAGTATAGACTCTCAAATCAGATTTGCCTGGGTTTGAATCCTGGCTCTACCACTTATTAACTGTATGATTTTGTGCAAGATATTTAACCTTGTTGCCCTCAGTTTCTTCATCAATACAAGTGAGATAATAACAAACATTCATTTTTTTTTTTGAGTTGGAGTCTCACTTTGTCACCTAGGCTGGAGTGTAGTGACACGCTTATGGCCACCACAGCCTCAACCTGCTGGGCTCAGGTGATCCTTCTGCCTCAGCTACCAATGCCTGGCTAATTTTTTTTTTTTAATTGTAGAGACGAGGTCTCCCCGTGTTGCTCAGGTTGGTCTCGAAACCCTGAGCTCAGGCAATACTCTCGCCTCCGCCTCGCGAAGTGCTGGGATTAAAGACGTGAGGCACCATGAAGGCCAACAAATATTTAGAACAGGGGTTCACAATCCCCCGGTGGTCCGTGGACTGTTAGGAGCCTGCGCACAGCAAGAGGCCGAGTGAGCGAAGTTTCATCTATATTTAAAATCGCTTCCCCATCATTGACTTTACCACCTGAGCTCCGCCTCCTGTCAGATCAGTGGCCCAGGTTATTAGAGTCTCATATGAGCATGAACCCTATTGTGAACTGTACGTGCGAGGGGATCTAGAAATAAAGTGCACAATAAATGCAATGCGCTTGAATCATCCTGAAACCAATCTCTATCCCTGCTCGCTGAAAAATTATCTTTCATGAAACTGGCCCCTGATGCCAAAAAGGTTGGGGATCACTGCTTTAAAGGATTGTTATGAAGACTCAAGATATGTAAAGTCTAATTCTAGTTCCAGCAGTTAGTAATACAGCTCTAAAAGTGTGAACTAGTATTCTTATTCTCCATCTTATTGTTTTCCTTTAAACTTGTAGAGTTTTTGAGCTATTCCACTTTATATTTGCAACTACACATGTAAGAATGCCAGAAAGAAAACAATTTAAATATAAGGTATCGTTGCCAAGCAGACACCTATAGTCCCAGCTACTTGGGAGGCTGAGGTGGGAGGATGGCTTGAATCCAGGAATTCGAGGTTCTAGTGTGTTATGATCGTGCTTGTAAATAGCCACTGCACTCCAGCCAGGGCAACATAACAAGCCTCTAGTCTCTAAATGGTTAAAGGGTGGGTGGGCTCCAGGTTGTAGTAGAGTGGGAAAAACTTAACAGGTAAGGTCTGGGAGGCTGACAAACTTAGCACCAACCTCCTTCACTTTCTAGCTGCATGAACTAGTCACACCACTTTTCTTACCTCAGTTGCTTTAACCATAAAGACATAACAATAACACAGGATTGTTGTGAGTATACTGGAAGATAATGCACGTAAACGTTCTGGGCATGGAGTAATTAATGTTCACTAAACTTTAATCACCCTTTCCCACTTGATGTACTAGGCATAACCCTAAAGAATACGACCATGAGCCGGGCTCAGTGTCTCAGCCTGTAATCCCGTGCTTTGGGAGGCTGAGGTGAGTGGATTGCCTGAGCCCG